GCTCCTCCTTGTTCTGCTCCGCAACTCCTTCCTATGGAATCTCTTGTAGGTTCTGGCACTTTTCCCTCAGAATTACACCCGATCTGTGATTGTTTGTTTGTTTATTTTTTCTTTTTCTTCTAAAACTGTTCCTTCTTTCTGAGACGATCTGGCAGCTGGTGTCTCTGGTCAGCCATCTTGTCTCTCCAAAATCCGCTTAGCTGTCTTTTGCCAATAGCTTTAGTATGGTGTGACTCTTTCTTAATTGCCAAAATTGATATTGACTGTCAAACACTGATCAGTGTATTAACATTCCTCGAGTATTTACTATATATACAATACTGTACAGACTGTCATGATAAGTTGGAATAAAAAAGTATTGCCTCTCATATTAACAATTAGATATTTCTAGATTGATAAATATGACAAATAAAAATTTTAAAACTTTTAACTAAAGGCAAAAACAAAGAATACATTAGTCAAGATATTATAGGTTCTCATACCAGGGAGTCAGAAGTTTTATTATAGTCCTGCGTCTGATTTGGTGCATTAGCTTGTAACCTTAGACAAATCGTTTAATCCTTCTAAAAATATTTTCTCATGTTTAAAAAACGAAGATGACAATATTTTCCTGCCTAACTTATAAGTATATTGTGATGATGAAATGAGACAGTGGCAATCAGAGCACTCAGAAAATTCTTCATCATGATACAAATATAAAGTGCTATTTAACATTAATGGACTCAAGCATTTATAGCTCTCTGATACCGTATTTTTCTGTGTTAACTAATATATACCATTTAGTATGTCTACTGTGTTACATGCTGGGCTGTGCATTGGAAATGTAGCTTTTCTCAAGAAGCTCACTTCAGCAGCAAAAAGGAGCCAGAGATAATTAGAACAGTGTGGTGTGTGTCATTCTGTTCCTCTGATTTGTTGCTAGTCCTAGCAGGTAATTGAAGCATAGAGATCACTTGAGATGTTACAGAAACTATAGCCATTGGTGGGGTAACAGACCTGATTGTATAGCAACAAATGACCTTGTACCCCTGTAAATATCACTCTACCTTTGTTCTCCTATGGCATTCACAACTGAATTAAAAAATGTAGCATTTTCCTAGTAAATTCTCTTTGGAAATGTAGGGCAAAGAGCACAAGTATAATTTTAAGCAGAAACAATTTCTAGTCATCTGAAAACCGGTTTTCAGTACAAGTGATATTTGCTTTCGAGAAAGAGTAGACTTATATTCCTTTTTTTCCCCCTGCCCATTTTAAGACTTGAGGGTTATAAAATACAGTAGTTTGGTGATGGTGATAGTGGTGGTGGTAGTCATAGTGATAGAACATTTCAAAATGATGTGCCTTTAAAAAAATTCTATCCACCAATGCAAAAGTTAGCACTTCCGTGTCACTAGACTAAGAGATACACCTGCACACACTCAGCCACCAAAGTTTTAAGAGCCGTTTATATTCTGAGTGGAGACCCTGTGCTTCTCGGGTTTCATGGTTGTGTTAGAGTTCTCCAGAGAAACAGAACCAATAGATTTTTATACATATATATACATAAAATAAAAATATATATGCAAAATATGTATGGAGAGAGAAAGAGAGACTGATTTTTAAGGAAGTGGTTTACATGATTGTGGAGACTGGCAAGTCAGAAATCTGTGGGAGAGGTTGGCAGGCAAGGAAGGGTTAATGTTGCAGACTTGAGTCCAAACTCTTGAGGGCAGGCCAGGAAGCTGGGAACTCAGGCAGGGTTTCTACCTTGCAGTCTTGAGGCAGAATTGCTTCTTCTTGAGAAACCTCAGTGTTTGCTATTAAGGCCTTCAACCGATTGGATGAGGCCCACCCACACTGTGGAAGGTAATCTGCTACTCAGAGTCTACTGATTTAAATGTTAATCGCATCTAAAAATCTTCACAGCAATATCTATAGTGGTGTTTGACCAAACGACTGGGCACCATAGTCTAGCCAAGTTGACACATACAGTTAACCAACACAGTGCACTTTGGCCTTCAAAGCTCTGGTCAGAAATTAGGATTACCCAGAGCCTATCCTTACCATATAGGAAATCACATTATTTTCTGTGGAGATAATCAATAACCAATAGCTCAGAATGTGGGTTCTCAAGCTTCAGTCCTAAGACATTATCCATTTCATTCCAGAATATAAAATTCTATAGGGCCTGCATGGATTCCCCCCAGATGAGGGCTAGCTCTTTACTTGAGGTCTGGGTTGATGCTCTTTTGCCTTTTGCTGGGCTGAGGGGCTACATTTTACCTCAGGTTCCTTGAATCCCATGCGACTGTTGTAATAGTAGTGTAGATTCTACACAGTCCCAGGCCTGAGCCAGCAATGCAATTCAGCCTCTCTAGAATTTGAACTCAGGCTGAAGTGCTACGAAGTGCATATGATTCTCTTACCATATTTTTCCTTAGCTGAAACTCTCTCTGTAAATTTTTTGAGCATTATTTCTTCTTGTCTAGCTGCAGTGCTTTGTGATATTACTTTAGAAGCAACAGCTGGATCAACTTTAAAAAAATCCTGAAGGAAAACATTAGGCAGTCAAAGTGACAGTGGTGACATCATCCATCCATCCATCCAATCTCCTGTCTGGTAATCCGGGTGTTTTCTAGTGCTCACTTTGTGCCCAGGATGAGCTCAGGAGGATGAGAAGAAATGTTTAGTTGTGGTTCTCACACTATGGAAGCTTAAAATCTAGTTAGGGGACATGAAACTGATGCTCGTAGTGAGGCTTACCAAAGAGAAAACATTTATCTGGCCAAATACCTGGAGTTCAATATTTTATATTAACAATCAGAGAAGCTTTTCTTATTAACTTGAAGATTTAGGCCATGGGCATGAACAGTTAGATCTTAGCCTATTAGAAGTGATCTATTCTTTGAGTTATTAGACTGAATCTAAGAAGGAAAGCTGAAGTCATTTGAAGGCAAAGTAAAATGATTAGGACTTTTCCTTCTTCAAAGAAAAAGGATGGTAAGGAAATATTTACTGAAGTCTGTAAAATCATAAAGGAGATAGGTTATACAAAACCAAAATTACATAATAATTATATTACTAAGTTTATACACACGCTCTTAATATAAGAGTACTGTCTCATTGTTGTCAAATATAATCTAACAAATTCCCATATTGCTATTTAGTTGTCTTAATTGATTAAAAGTACTATTTAAAAAATTGTGATTGAAAACAGATCTATCTTAAGCAGTTTTATTTTTTAAACAAAGTCTGAGTATATGTTTTACATATTTGCTTTTACTTAGAAAAAAAAAACTTACTTAGAAAAATACGACTTGGGTGTAGTACCATGTGGTGTAAACAACTGAACTATTTTACCTTTTACTTACCTATGAATGAGCCAGTATATGTTTATTACTGGAGTTCCAGCTATAAAATTCAGGTAAGAGGTTTAAATATACCCTGGAGTATTATTTAAAAATAAATTTGTTTCTTTCAAATAGAATAGCAACCTTGATCTATGACATTTGGGAGAGAAATTAAAATATTAAAGTTTTATTGCCTAGTAAACTGAAAATAAAGTAAAGGTTAAATAAATACAAAGTAGAAAAAAATATATATACAAAATCACAACCTCTAAAAGGACAAACAGTCTACTGTTCTCTACTGTGGGAGCTTTATCAGCACTAGTTAAGTAATCCTACCTCTAGGGCAGTGCTGGTACTAAAAAATGTAAACAAGTATGTGCTTTGTTTATATAAAGAAATATGCAGCATGGTTTGTATTTCTTTATGGATATCAAACAGCTAAATGGATTGTTTCAAAGCACCAGTAGGGGCCAGCAAAGAGCTCTTAGAGTTTTTCAGAACAGAATTGGCATTGAGATATGTTTATTTGATGTGTTAAATCCTTTTTAGACTTCTTTGCTTACCACAACACTCTCTTAAGTGAATGAATCGCAGAGACAGTAGAATAAAATACCCCGTGTGTTCAACTATATTGGGGTGTAGGGTTTTTTTTTTGTCTAATCTGCATATGTTTTTAATGGAATGTTTGCTTAGGCTATTTCTTGGCAGAGTTTTAATAGTCAAAATATAAATGGCATCATTTAAAGACTCTACTACTTGGCTGGAAAAGGCCTTAAAATTACAGGAGAAAATGCTTGGTGACAGCTTCTCTTAAACTTTTTTTTTTTTTCTCAGACCGATGCTCAATTTTTGCAATAGTATTACCAAGCTAATTTTGTAGTTCTATCCTTAAGCTTTCACTTTTTATAACTGTACTTTGGAAGCTAAGATATTTGTCTATTTGATTTAGTGCTAGAGTTTTAATTCACCCCGAAGTTTTGGTGTTTCCAAATTTATACAACTGTCTGAATTTACTCATTTAAAAAAATTTAACAGTCCATATTCCTTTCTACATTAACTAACTTGACCAGATTCCTGGTATGGCTACTATTAGGAAATTCAATCTTCGATTTGATACTCAAATACGTGGGGTTTCGTTCCTACCAACTTCCTGTAATTCTATACCTATGGGTAAAAATATTAGTGGTTAAACTCTGCTGGAAAAAGTATAGGCGCTGTGATTCACATAGTTAAATGTTCATTTAGTAGAGCTGGAGTGAAAAAATACTGTTTCAACTTGAAATGCTAGAAGATTGTTGTTCTTGTGTTACTCATTCATGCAAATTGGAGAAGGTATAATTGAAACAAGGTTGGCTGTGTTTGAGTCAGTGTGCTGCAGCTGAGCTCAGCTTAAAGGTCGCTGGAAATCAAGTGCTTTGTAAGTGAAGGCATTTTGACTACAAGCGATTCAAGACATTTTGGAAACATCAGTCTCAGGAATGGGTCGTCCTTTTCTTTCTATGATATCTGATATCTAATGTTTTACTTAGGATAAAGACTACTACTTAATAGCTTTTTTAGGCACCATAAATGAGTTTTTCTTTCGATGCAGTGCAGCTGCTTCTAGCTTGTCTACGGACAGAGATCTTTGTTATGACTTTCAGCCCTTAACATGTTTGGAAATGAGAACAAATGGCACAAAGCTTACGATTGCACTTTGCAGCCAGAAGAAGCAATACTTATCCTTTGTCAGAAACCTCCGGAGATGATTTGGATAGCCATGTTCACATGTGCTTTAAAAGACCAACACGGATTTCAACATCTAACGTTGTTCAAATGAAGCTGACTCCCAGACAGACTGCACTAGCTCCGTTAATAAAGGAAAACGTTAAGTCTCAGGAAAGATCATCTGTTCCGTCATCTGAAAATGTTAATAAAAAGAGCAGCTGTCTGCAGATTTCGCTACAGCCAACAAGGTACAGTGGATGTCTTCAGTCTAGCAATGTCTTAGCTGATGGTGATGATGCTTCATTTACTTGTATCTTGAAGGATGGCATTTACAGCAATGCTGTGGTTGATAATGAACTGAATGCTGTGAATGATGATAACCTTTTAAGCAGTTCTGCCATTTGTAGTGGTAGCCTTAGTAACTTTTCAATCAGTGATAATGGATCTTACAGCAGCAATGGCAGTGATTATGGGTCATGTGCAAGTATCACAAGTGGAGGTTCGTACACTAACAGTGTCATCAGTGACAGTAGTGGTTATACTTTTCCACCAAGTGATGATGCTTTTTTAGGTGGAAATTTATCTTCTGACAGCACCTCCAATAGAAGTGTGCCAAACAGGAATACTACTCCATGTGAAATTTTTTCAAGAAATACAAGTACAGTTCCTTTTGTCCAGGATGATTTGGAGCATGGATTAGAGATTATGAAATTGCCAGGGAGCAGGAATGCAAAAATTCCACTGAAACGCTGCTCATCCTTAGTCATTTTTCCTAGGAGTCCTTCAGATACCCCACCAACTTCTCCAATAAGTACAGGTACTCTTCTAAGCAAAGGAGCTTATCAAACTTCACACCAGTTTGTTATTTCTCCTAATGAAACTGCACATAATGAAGATGGTCCTAGTGCTAAGGGATTTCTTTCAACAGCTGTCAATGGACTTCGGTTATCTAAAACAGTTTGTACTGCTGGAGAAGTCAGAGACATACGGCCACTTCATGTGAAGGGCTCATTACAAAAGAAAATTGTTATTTCAAATAATAGTCCAAAACAGACTGTCTGTGAAAAGTCATCTGAAGGATATTCTTGTGTTTCAGTGCATTTCACCCAACAAAAAGTAACTGCATTAGATTGTGAAACAGCAAATGGTGATTGTAAACCAGAGATGTCAGAAATTAAGCTTAATTCTGATTCAGAGTATATTAAGTTCATGCGTAGGACATCTGCATGTTTACCATCCTCCCAGAATGTAGATTATCAAATAAATATCAATGGAGAGTTGGAAAGACCAAATTCACAGAAAAACAAAAACCATGCTATTTTACAAAGAAGCATTTCATTGGGAGGAACTTATCCAAATATTTCCTGTTTATCCAGCCTTAAGCACAATTGTTCTAAGGGGGGACCATCTCAACTACTCATAAAGTTTGCATCTGGAAATGAAGGTAAAGTTGATAATTTATCAAGAGACAGCAACAGAGATTTCACAGATGAACTATCTAATTCTTGTAAGGTAAGTTTCCTTTGGTCTTAGTAAATGTTAATTTATACTAGAATAGCTTAATGTAATATTTGATTAAAATTTATTATAACTAAGTAGTTTTATATACTTTCCTGGTCCTTAACTAACAAGTGTTTTGGAGTCATGGACTTTATAAGTCTGAAGAACTCCCTTATTTTTTACTCTGTTACTTTACCAATGTACAAAATATGTATTCTTTAAAAAAAAAAAAAAAAACCTTTACTAAGAGATTTAAGCCATAAAAACTTGCTATGATTTAAAACCAAGCTTTAAATAACAAACTGTTTCACAACATTTTATCTTGGTATATTTTTCCCTCAAATGGCATAGTATGCTAGTGTGTAATTCAATATTTTATTCCTGTTTTCAGAAATGATTGTTTAGTTTCCCTCCCTCCTTAATTGTTATGAAACAAAGTAGAATATAAAATGTTATTTAAAATATTAAATAAAAAACCCTATATCAAAATGTGAAGATCTTGTTATAAATGAACACAGAGGAAATATATCTCTGAAATACATGTATTTGTAAGATCATTGATAAAAACTATTATGCTGCATGTTTAAAGCAGAGGAAAAATAAATGTCATTTGCATTTGTATATATGCTTAACCACAGGAATTTTGTTTCCACCCTATTTTTCTTTAGCCACCAGTTAATACTACCTTCTAAAATGTAACTCACTCTTTCAATAATATTGAATTCTAAATTTTATATTTTTGAATTGGGCTTAAATTCCTAGGCATTTCCCTTAATTTTCTATTTACCTTATTTGTTTTTTGACAGTTTTGCCTTATTATATTAGTAATTTAACTCTAATGACTCTTAGCCAAGAGGTTTTTTGTTTTTTTGTTTTTTTTTTTTTTTTTTACATAATTTGGCCTTTCCAAGGTATTTAAAATGTTTTGACTGAAATAGAGTTTTTAAAAATTTCTGTATTTGGAACATCTTGCCAGATTCCAGGAAATTTAAAAAATTTTCTGACTAAACCAATTCTAGATGACTATACATAATAGTTTTGGGGGAAAAAATCTATCTGTTTATCTGTGTTTTTATAACATCCAATATCTATATTAAAGTTTTTTTTAAAACTTCTGGACAAGTAGCTTTAGGTAAATAAAGTCTTAAGTAATTGCTAGTTTATTTTCTTTCTCTTAAAATCTGGTAAATATAATCATTGTTAGCAATGCCCAGATGTTAATATAAACAACTAGTTTACTGAGGATGAAAAAAAGATCCAATTTCAAATTCCGATCTATGTTTTAGAATATTTAATTCCATTTAGGAAACTTCTAAAACCAGCTTTTAGGAGATTATAATCCCGTTAACTGTTTTCTCCCCAGAAAAAAGAAAGTGACACTTTGAAGAAACATTAATAGTTTGCTAATTGCATTAATGTTACTTGTAAATTTATGTTACACTTACTGAAACACTTAACATGAAAGGAATAATTAACCTAGAAATATTCATAGAAATATCCTTAAAATAGTTGATTTTGTGGTAATATTATAGTTTATGGTTATTGATGCTTTTCAAAAGGGTATTTTAAATGTATTTTTAATGAAATGTGAATTAAATGCCTTTTGCATTACTGAAAATATACATTTTTATTTGTTTTATTTATACTTAGGTAAGCTAACTTAAATTTTTTGTGTGTGACAATCAAATGTCTTTGGGAAGATTCTATTTTTTGGTAGATTATTGGATTGTAAAGTAGTTCAGAAGTGTGCAGTTTGCTAAAGAGCTTTAAATTGTCCCCCCCTTTTAATGTTTTTTAGACAACTTCTCTTTATAAAAGTATTATAAATAATATAGTGACAGTTAAATTCAATTTATAGTAGATCTAGATTGATCTAATTGATAAGTAGTAAATTAAGGTCTTGTTTTATGAGGAAGATTCTGATGGTGCTTTTTCTAAACATATCAGTGGCAACAATAATGGGTTTTAGAAATAATCCTGTGTTTATCAATAATTATATATTAATCTAATTATAGTGGTATATTGTAACTCATTTATAAATAAACAGCTCCAAAAATATTTCCCATGACTCCAGTTAGTCTGGGTTAGTATCCTGATATGCTGAGTCTGGATTCACATTTAACAAGTTGATATTAGAGTAGCATTTAGTAATGTCAGCTATCTGTCCCAAGCAGCCATGAAATTAAATCACTGCTTTGGTCAGAGACCCTGATTGCTAAAGCACTGAGAGATCTACAGATTCTTTTCTTATGTGTTTAACGACCAGTCACTAGCATATAAAATTAAGTTTCTAGCTCTCTACCATGAGCAGCTCATTAATGACTAATTTTTAAAATCTGGTGAGAGCTTTTACCTGAATCTGGGACACAGACTCTGTTCTGTGTTCACAACTTAGAATGAAGATGGGATTTTGTAGTCTGCATGATAATGTTTATTTCAGGCATAGCACAGAACATAACAATAGCTGGCATATGCTTATTGTGTATGCCTTTTGAAATACAATATTACTCTTATAAAGGCTATATAATGACTTTCAATCTGAAAATAAATATTTGAAGTTTTAACATTTTAATATTTTGTCAGAAATAGGTTAAGGAGCTAAGATACTTGCTTATACAGTTACAAAAATTATTACTATTCAAATTTCTAAAATCTGTATGGTAGTTTATTTTATTATTTTATTTTTCCCTATCTGTTGTTTCCTGAATCTCCTTTGTTGTTAGAATGCTCAGATTTAATTACCCTATTATTTAATGCACCTTAGCATTTCGCCCAAGCTTGTACATGTTTTCTATTCTTCACTCATATGTCTATTTTTATTAGAAATGTTTTTTCTCTTTGTTATAAAAGTTTTTTATTATCTGTTACTTAATCCTGGGTAGGTAAATTGCTTAAGCCTAGTGTAATAGAACTTTAAAACATTTATGTCTCAATTATTTCAAAGCCTTTAACACTAATCTCAAGATTATATATTTCAATCTTTTCTTTGTTTAGTTCTTCCTAAAATAAATGTTTAAAATATATACTTATTTTAGTGTTCCATTATTTTCCCTGTCCTTATTTTATTAAATTTAGCAGAGTATTTAAAGACATTTGGTTAAATTTATTTTTAATAGCACCTAATCTTTCCTATGATAACCGATATGACTTATAAATATCAACTCTAAACTGATGTAACAATGACCACTTTTAGAAATTTGATGAAAAACGTATACTTGTATGTGTATATATATATTTCTTAGAACTGAGGAATCATTAATTTCAAAGAGGTTCAGAGGGCTCGGTCGTTTGCCTGGACATGCTTTGTATTCTCTGTAGGCGTTGTCTTTAATTCATTTATCCAGCACATATTTGAGTGCCAGGCACCGTCCCAAGCACTGGGAATAAAAGGTGAGTGAAGTACAGTCTCTATTCAGGGGAGCTCCTAGTAATAGGAGCTCTAATAATAAGGATACCCCGGTAAACAAAAAAAATTTTCAGTCTATTGTGTGATGTGCTAAAATAGAAGTGTGTATGAGAAAGTGAGAAAGATGTGACAATATTTTTCTAGAAGAGAGGACTTGGTTGGTAGAGGAAGGCTTCAGAGAGGAGGTGACATTTGAGCTGCATCTTGATGAGTGACTTGGAGTTCATCAGGTAGAGAAATTAAGAAGGGTATTCTGGGGCAGGGATTCTCAGTCTCAGCACTGTTAACGGTTTGGACAGAATACCTCTTTGCAGGGGGAGGCTGTAGGATGTTTAGCAGCATCCCTGGCCTCTAGCCACTAGATTCAAGTAACACTCCTCTCCCCCACTGTGACAATCAAAAAAAGTCTCCAGACGTTGCCAAATGTCCCCTAAGGGGCAAAATTGCCCCCTGTTGAGAATCACTGCTTTAGGCAGGAGCAGCAGCACATGCAAGGCTAGAGACGTGAAAGAATGTCACCCTGTATATCCTCGAGTGAGGCTAAAGCATAGAGTGGCCTAGGGATGAGGGAGGAGCTGATCTGATGGAAGTAGGTTGGAATCCCCTTAGACCTGGTACCTCATGCTAAAGACCGAGTAGTGTATCCCCTGCTAATAGACAGTGGTTAGGCAATGGAAGTCATTATTTGAGAGTGTAAATTGCTCATTTTTATGTTTTTAAAATATACATGTTCATGATACCATGGATTATAAATGAATCAAGATTTTCTTAACTTGGACAACTGGGTGAACAGTGATGTCACAAACTAAGGTAGGTAATTCAGAAGGGGCCAGATTGGGAGGGTAAAGAAGAAATCACATATTGTTAAGTTTGTGTGCCTGAGAGGCTGCTCTAGTCATATGCAGGCAAGTAGGGTGGTTGGAGAGGCAGGACCAGGGCTCAGGAGAGCAGTGAGGCTGGAAGTGCAGATTGGGAGCATAGGCAAAGCCTCAGGTAAAGAGGAACCTATCTAGAGAAAGCATACAGTGAGATGGATAAATTGCAATTCTGGGGACCACCAACTTTGGTGAGGTGATGGAAGAAGAGATAAAGAGGAGATTAAGGAAAGGGCCACTAGAGAGGCCAGGAGAGCATGGCATCGTGGAGTGGAGGGCAGGGAAGGAGGAAAGCATGCAGTGCCACAGAGAATTTCAGTATCCACCGGATGTAGAAATTAGGAGGTCCTTCGGTAAGAGGAGGCTCAGGAGGAGGTGGGGTTGAAAGCCAGGTTGAGCAAAGAATGAAACAGAGTCAATGTAGGTTGCTTGCTAAATGTCATAAAATAAGTGTGAGATAGCTTAGGCAAGCTATATTTAATGAGTGCTATATAGAAGACATACTATAACCTGGTATGTAAGATGTATGTGGTATATAAGACAAACTCCCTCTCAACAAGGAGAGTACAGTCTCTTTCCCAAACACAAAAACAAAAAAAGGTTGTAGCCCTCTGTTCTTTCACATTGGAACTATAGAATATGTGAGTGTGGGCAGTGAAAACTGAAATGGAGATTCAGCAATGTGAAATGAGGGAAACAGAAAATCAGAAGTGAGAATCTGAAACTACTTA